TCAAACTCCAACCCCATCAAACTCCAACCCCATCAAACTCCAACCCCATCAAACTCCAACCCATCAAACTCCAACCCCATCAAACTCCAACCCCACCAAACTCCAACCCCATCAAATTCCAGCCCATCAAACTCCAACCCCACCAAACTCCAACCCCATCAAATTCCAACCCCACCAAACTCCAACCCATCGAACTCCAACCCCATCAAATTCCAACCTCATCAAAATCCAACCCCACCAAACTCCAACCAGTGCCACAACCCCAAGGGTCAGTGATGTCCCCAACCCGCCAGACCCCACGCGGACAGCACAGAGAGACGAGACACCATCAGGGGTTATTGAACCAGGAAGCTTTATTTACACAGTAAAAGTAACAAGCAATTTCCTGAGATTGAGCTGCTCTAGTGCAATCAAGTCATGGAGGGGGCAGGAGCAGCCTCCTGGCCTGCCCACAGAGGGGACCCTCGGGCAGCCCCTCCCGGGACACGCACGGCCCGCGGCGCTGTGCAATGGCCAGCGGGACTTGGCTACTACAGGTCATAGCTTCAGAAGGCTTTGTTTTCATTCTTCTTCCCATTTTTTTATTTTTTATTTTTGTTTTAATTTTTTTTTTTATTTGGCCATCCTCTTCTTTTTCTTTCTTGAACACCAAACCCACACACGCTGCAAAGCACTGCTACAATCCTAGAACATCCTACGTCAGTCTGTTTGCCTGGGCAGCCAGGAGCTCTGAACAAAGCACTTGAAACACGACTTTATTGGCCCAACAGGCTATGCTAGCACGTGGAAAAATCACAATCTATTTTACAAATGCTTCTTTTGTTGGTTTCTTTTTTTTTTTTAATGTGCTCTTTCATAGGGACAGGCTCAAAGAGCTGCGTCTGCAAAGCACACAGCAAACTCTCGTGCGCCTGCTAAGACTTTCTGTATTAAAATCCTATTTTTTTTTTTTCAGGATGGTGAACCTTTATTGCTGCTGCCACAGCTTTGGTGYCATCCCAAAACAGCTGCTGCCCAGACTGGGTCACACCTTAGACAAGCCACTTATCTTCACAACAATGAGCCTATTTTAGCTACCTAGCAAGGAAAAACATCCCTTGTCTGCGCATTAATATCACATTCTGGCAGCCAGCAGGGATCTGCTGGGGGATTTGGGGGTTCCCAAAGCATCTGTGTAATAGGTGAAGTCCTTTACAAACCAAGAGCAGGATGCCCAGGGGATTCCCTGCTCTCCCCACTGCGTAGGGGATGGATCTCCTGACGCCGGGGGAGCACCGCCACTTCTGACTTTACAATCAACAGGATGTCCCCTGAATCTGAGGCACGTACTATATTATATTTAATATTTTTAATTACTTTATTTATATATATATTTATATATATATAAATCCACAAATGTTTTACCTCTACAGAGAGAGAGATAGAGAGAGAGAAAAAAAATTTTTTAAAAAGTAAGGCTTTCTTAAACTGAGAATAAGTACATGAAATCATACAAACCCAACAAGAAACACCCAACAGAACACCACCGTGGCCTCAGAACTGTCGCTAACTGTAGTCTGTGCCTACGCCAACGTGCCCAGTGTAAGGCCATGACTCATTGGAGAAGCGTTTTTAGTAAGGCAAACGGGTTGTGCTGAATGTAAACTGAATGCTACGGCTACTTCCAGGCCAGCGGGGCCGTGGTACATTGGCCACCATGTCCAGGACAGCAGGGCCATGGCCCATTGGCCACCACGTCCAGGACAGTGGGGCCATGGCCCATTGGCCACCACATCCAGGACAGTGGGGTCATAGCCCATTGGCCACCACATCCAGGACAGTGGGGTCATAGCCCATTGGCCACCACATCCAGGACAGTGGGGTCATAGCCCATTGGCCACCACATCCAGGACAGTGGGGTCATAGCCCATTGGCCACCTTCCCACTGTGGAGGTTAGCGTGGCACCAAGAGCAGCCCTTGGAAAGAAAACAGAAGCCCTTAGGAATTCCAGCCCTGGGGATGCCCACACGAGAGCCCGCCTGGAGCTCTGCGGTGGCAGCTGGATGTGGATTTGGGTGAATTTGCCCTTTTTTTGCTCAGCTGAGGAGGTGCCTGTGCGCCCCGAGAGCAGGATCTGCCAGCGGTGGGGAGGGAKGGATGGATGGAGCATCAGGAAGACTCAAAGCCAAGAATTGTGCTGTGAGGGTGCCACTGCAGGGGTGTGGACAGAGGGGCAGCAGCCTGGGAAAGCTCTGGCATGGCTGGACCTTCCCAAAACAGCTGAGACCAGCAGCTCCTGCCACAACAGGAGGGCTAAAAATTAACCCAGGGTGTATTTTCTTCTGAGTGATGCATCAAGCGACACTTTTTAAAAGAGCTGGAGGGKTCCCCAAAATGAAAAGACATCCCTATCTACCCCTCCCAAAATATTTGGGGCTCGTCCTGCTTGCCTGGAGGGAGTGGACACGGCCACTGCCACCAGCAGAACCTCTGCAGTGCCAGGACAGGGGTAACGACCAAGGGGTTCCACCGTGGTGGGAGATGCCACATGCATCCTGAACCACTGCGGAAAAAAGTGCACTAATATAACCAGAAATGATGAATGAAACCTGTACCAGCAGCTCTCAGCCTTTCTGAGTTATGGACCCTCAAAGCATTGCCCATGGGGGTGCTGAACCCCATTAAAAATGTCCTGTCTTCAGTTGCTCCTGTTATCAGTGATTATTTTTYTCCTTTCTTTCTTTTGCAAAGCTCGGGAAGTAACCCCTGAGCTTGAAGGAACCAGCAGAAGGAATCCAGAACATGCTGGAAGCCATTTGTACAGCTTTCCTAGAGCTTTAAACAAACAAACAAACAAACAAAAAAAAAAATCCCAGAGGGAGAGAAAAAAAAAATCTGCGTCCTTCTAAACCTGTTAGCAAGTGGACAGCTTATTTTTAGCAAAGAGAATTCATATCGTACAAACATAATGGTCGCCACTTTATCTGTGCTTAAAAAAGGCACAGGAAGAGGAAAAGCTTTCAGTGCTGCTACCTGGATTTTCAGCCTTTTGCCAGCTGAYTTTGTCAAGTAACCCCTCCTGCACGACGTGTCTCGGGCACGCAGCCCTTCACAGTAACGCCAAAAAAAGAGAGGGTGGCAGCCGTGCCCCGGGTAGCAAAGAGGGCACAGCTGCTGCTAAATGGGTAAACAGCCAGCCCTGCTCAAAACAGGGTGTTGGGAACCTAAATGAGGGTGGCACCGAGCCTGAGTAGGGCTTTTTTCCCAAAAGGGATGAGAGAAGGGGCTGGGAAGAAAAAAACTAAGGAAGGAAGGCGTTTGAGCATCCCTGAGCAGCGCCCAGCAAGCGCTGCTGCGGATGCCACCCCACACAGCCCAGGGGTGTGTTCAATTCCTCATCAGAAATACTAAAAATAAAGGAGTAAAAATCCAGCTCTTGCCATTATTAAATTTAAGCAAAACACTTCACTTGTGATTTCCTTCTCACGGCACTTCCAGGGACATGGGGAGCGAGGAGGGTGCCGGGGCGGTACGGGGTGTGGCCGGAAAAAAGGAGCTGCCCCAGCAGCCACCAGCCAGTGCTCCATTTGCAAATCTCAGTATTCTGCTTTCCCCTCCCTTTTCCAGTCCCAGGGGTGGTGGTTTCTCCTTGTGCTCCCCTTTCTGAACTAGCACAGGTGGGACCAGCTCCATCAGCTCCAGCCCTATCCTGGCAAAAGCCATTCACTCGCGGATTCCGAGTTTTTGGCGATCCCCGTGCCTGGTTTCCCCATGGGACAGGCACTTTCCTCCCACTGGCTGATCTCTGGCTACAGTAGTTACAAAGAAATTTCAAGATTTACACACGCATGCACACGGATTCCTCTAAAATACCTGATGAAATTTTGGCAAAGCCGCTTCGTCCCCTCCAGCTGGCAGGAGGGGCGCAGTGACAGGATCCCACAAACTCTCTGGAAACGAGGAGCCCTCCACAGCTCCACTGGCAGCTCCCTGACCCCCGGGGCGAGAGGAGCAGCCCCCTCCTCAGTTGTTCTCGATCTGCTCGATGTCGATCTCGCCATCCAGCTGGAAGAGGCTCTCGGTGCCCATCGTGCCGCTCCGCCAGGCCGTCCTGTCCTCCTCCTTGCTCTCCTCCTCCTCCTCGCAGGACAGCTCGTCCCTGCTGGCCCTGTGGCTGTGGGGCCGTGCCCGTGGTGGCTCTGGGACCGGGGTGCAGGCGGGGGTCCTGCCTGGCATCACCTCGGGGGTCGCGTTCCAGGGCTGGAGCCGCCGGGCACCGTCCTCGGCCGCGGCGCTAAGGCAGGTGAGGCTGTTGAAGGTCTGGCGGTTCTGCAGAGCCAAGGGGAGAGGAGCAGGTGAATTAGAGACCCTGACGCTGGGCTGGGGTAGGAGTTATGCCACATGAGGGGACAGTCCTCCCAATCCCAAATCTGAGCACCCCCAGCCCGACAGGAAGCAAGCAGAGCAGCAGGAGCACTCAGCTCMCCAGGAGATGCTCCAGCCAGCAGYTCYCCAGGGTTCCCCAAAATGAAAAGACATCCCTCCCAAAATATCTGGGGCTCATCCAGAGCCTGGAGAGAGCTGACACATCCACCAGCAAAATCTGCAGTGCCAGGACAGGGGTGACATCAGCCATGGAGGAGCAGATGCTGCAAAGCCCCACATCCCCATCCAGGGCAGGTCCTGTGCATCTCCTGTCCCTGCAGCAGACAACGCACCCAAACCACCCCCATCCTGCTCAGGATCACTGCCATCACCATCTCCACCCCATGAATCGCCCTTTAGTTTCACATTTAAGGCAGGACAAAGCTCGCCAAAAAGAAATGAACGTTTCCAACAACTCCCTTTGTCAGCAAGAGAAATGTCTGCCCTTACTGGTGTGCTCTGTTCCCCCATTGTTACACAGAGGGTGTGCTCTGGGTGTGAGGAGGGTGAGGAGGATCTCAGCAGCTCTGTGAGCTCTCATGGAGCGAGTGTGTGATGGTGAGTTCCCTTCTCAGACACTCAGCCTGAACACGTCCCAGAACAGGCCTGAATGAGTTCAATAAACACCTGGGAGGAAGGCAGGCATCTCCTCACTAAACTGGAGATGTTCACCTGTTCCTGGGCAGTTTTGGGCCCCTCGTGACAATGAAGACATTGAGTGACCATGAAGACATTGAGGGGCTGGAGCGTGTCCAGGGAAGGGAACAGAGCTGGGAAAGGAGTGGCTGAGGGAGCCGGGAGAACATCAGCACCCAACAGAGCGCTGGTGACACAGAGTGACAGAGCTGCTGCCTGAACCTGCTCTGGCTGCCCCATTCAGCACCAAACACAAAGCCTGAGACACAGCCTTGCTCCAAAACATCCCCAGGGCCGTTCCCAGGGAATCAGGCACATTTGCTTGAGGGTTTTCTCTTTCAAATCCAGGCAAGTGGGGAGCAGCCCCACCAAAACACCTTACCCCAGGCTGTAATGAAGGAAAACCACCCATTTACACAGCCCCTAAGGGAGATGCAGAGGCTTTACATCACACACCAACCAGTTCCTAACAAATTAAAGGGTCTTTGTGCTGAGCTGAACCCCTGGACCATCGCTCAGAGGTTTTGAGTTCTGCACATCTCCATGAACACAGTAAAACCTGTCCCTGCAGAGGCTCCTCTATCCACACAGAGAAGTTCCTGCTGCCCCACGAGGAGCTGGCCACTGCCCAAGCTGGGGAAAGCTGCATTTCACATGGCCTTCAGYCTCTGAAACCTTCAAAACCCCACAATTCCCCAAGCCCGTGTGAAAAAACGAGCATTTGTTCTCTAATTATGCAACTGCACCCCGTCCTCACGTCATCCTGGTCGTATTTTTCAAATCCCAGCCATGCCTCTGTCTGCTGGGTTCTGAGCATGCAGCAGCTTCAAGCAGAGAGCTGCACACTGTGGTTAATGGACAACTCRTAATTACCACTGCAGAAGGCCCGAGGACATAGCAGAAATATTTTTCTAAGCACTTCACAAAATTTGCAAGCATATTTCCAACAGTGATTTAGGCACTTGAAACGCCTAGGTCTCCTGAAAGTCAACAGCCCTCTCAGAAGTGCAAATCCCTTTGACAAACAAAAAGGGATTTGGCTCTTCTGGGAATGTGAATGGTAATTTTTCTCCTCCTTCTCAATTGAGCTCATCTCCAGTGCTTCCCAGGGTTTGGTACCCAGGTGTGGACAGGTCAGGGTGCTACAGAGCATCCTGAGAGGATGGGAGATGCTCTCTGAGTAATTCAGAGGAGATGAACGATTCCTGTAGTGACAAATGAAGGAGGAGGCAGCCCGGAGAGTAACTCAGCAGGTCTGCAGCTCATTCTTCTCATCAGAAAGAAGAGCATTCCCAAGCTTGGACACCTCTCAGACAACAGCCATGAAGGGACTTTCAGGGAAATTTTGGATTTTATGGGGTTTGGGCAATACAACCAAGCAAAGAGCCTCGTTCTCCCTGCTCAAATCCACACACATTGAAACCAGCCCAAGCCTTGAGTCACTCCAGGGAATATCTTTGCTTTCCCTGTGAGAGGACAGAAAACCCCTCCTGATGGTGCCAGTGCTGCTGGTGCAGAGACACTCCATCTGGGGCAGGTTTGACAGCTCAGAAAGCAAATTTTCACAGTCACTGGCTGCCACAAAATCCCACAGCTCGCCTTCCACAGCTGGGGGTCAGGATAGTCCCCCCAGGATGGTGATCACCAGGCCAGCATTCCATGGGCTGGCTGTGGATCAGAGCTGGAGCAGCCACTGCTGTCAATGCCATGTCTGTTCTCCATCCTTCAGGAGTTCTTTGCTCGTTTTTTATTTCTTGGGTGAATTTAGCACGTGCTGAGGTGCTGAGCTGGCCAAACCAGGCAGTCAAGGCCTCTGTTGRTGTCAGAAATGAGCAGGTTTGGTGGCACAATGTGGTGTTTGTCCCCCATGGCCAGGCTGCCCTGGGCCCCTCCAAGCCCCTCCAAACCTCCAGTGCCAGACAAAAATGGGTATCAGGCACCTCAAATCCTGCTGGTCTCAGGGAAACTGTGGGAATCCAGCACAGGATGGCTTTTGGGAGGTGTTTCTAGCCATCCTGACTTCACCCAGCGAGATCTGTACTGCACCTTACACCCAAACCACCTTTACCAACCCAAATGACTCATTTCTGATCATTTGAGGTGCTGATTTTTCTTCCCCCAACTTCCTTCCCAAAGCTGCCTCAATCCCACATGCTGGGCAATCCTTCAGGGAGAAAATGAGGCGTTACTAATGCAAGCACCTGAAAAATCAACTAAAAAAATAAGAGATGCTTGGCCACTTGGAAAAAGCCACACCAAAGCCCTTCTTGCACAMTGGTGACCAAGCTCAGGATGTTTCTTTCTCCCACAGGATCTTGTGATGGTCCATACAGCACAGGGACCAAGGCTGCAATCAGGGAAGGATGCAGGAGCCAATTCTTCCTCACATCCATCCTTTTCCTCAGATTTTCCCTCCCCATCGGTGACAAAGGCTGGAGGCTGAAGAGCAAGCTGAAAAATCCCTCAGCAGCATTCCTCCATCTCATTCTTCCCCTAATAAAACACCCAGCTGCAGGCTTTTCCCCATAACACATCCCTACACACACAGTGGATCTACCAGGACAAATATCAGCACCGGGATCCCTGCGGTGATCACGGTTTTTGCTCAAACACCTTATTTTTTTTTTAATTTTTCCACCCTGCCAGGTGATTGCTGCAATTTTCCCGGGGAAGGTGTAATCCTACAAGCTGTCAGCAATGCCGGCCCTACCTCCCAAGCTGTCATCACCTCCTGTGAGCACACTGGGCTGCAGTTCCTTCACAAAGATGAAAATAACCCGGTGCCAGCAGGGAAGGGGAATGGGCAGTGAGAGCTGCTGCTCCATGCGGGAAAGATGAACCTCTGCCAGCCCTCCTGAGCCAGCAAAGTCACCTCCACTGGGGAATTCTCTGCCTAGTTTGGATTTAAATCACTCTCCAAGGCAAACATCTTCAGCCCGAGTTGTTATCTTTATATCTTTATCTATAAATGCTTTGGTTGTTTGCATCACGGTAAATCCTGCCTGGCATTTGTGTCAGGGAAAGCACTCGCTTGTGCTGCTGAGGAGGAGGGCCAGGTGTTTGAGACTGGAAAATGAGAGTGGAAAATGGGTTTTGATCTGGTTTTTAAGCTCTGCAGAACTTCGTTATGGCAGCTGGTGTGATTTGGGCCATGCACACACACACACACATATCACAAGGGTTCAAAGCTCTGCATAGCCTTTAAGGCACCCACAACATTCTCCAACTCCTTCTCCAACTCCTTCACCAACTCCTTCTCCAACTCCTCAGGTCATTTTCCTGGTGATGGGAATGCAAAGGAAATTCCTAGGAATGGAAGGGACAGGGGGAGGGAGCTGCAGCAGACATGGCTCAGCCTCCATGCTCCAAGAACCAGTCTCCTCTTTATTATTATAACGCAGGACCTTATAAAAATTAAAACCAAACGTTATGTCACTGCTTCAGCAGTGCTGAAAAAAAGAGTATCAGCAAGTAAAGAGATAAAATTATATTGGATGACCAAAAATCCAGAGTTTGTGACACCTGTACCCAACACTCCCACCAACCAAGACCTCCTGCAAATCCAGTGCACACTTGAAAAACACTTCACTTTTCTGCCACAGCCTCAATCTTGGACTAAGCCTGAGCATCTTTCTCTGGAAAGGAAAAATGAAGGGCCCTTATTTAATTATTTATTTATTTATTATTCACTTAGCACCATTTCCTGAAATGCTTTGCCTTCCTAAAATGCTTCAGCAGARTTTTGCAAGGCAAGTGGTTCCAAGCAGATTTTAACTAACCCAGTAGTTTCAGGAGTGATGGGGTTTGGGTGTTTGTTTTTTGGTTTTTTTTTTTAAACCAGCATGAAAAATCCCTTTTGGCTTTTTCGAGCCAAAATGCCACTTTTGAGTGTGCTGACTCCTTCAAAAGTGAATCTCTGTGCTTTCTAAAAGCCGTCCTTTGGGATCCCACAGCCTGGGAACAGGAGGGTTAATCAGCATGTGGTGAATCAGATGTGCATCCTCGGGACACAATTGGATTTTGTCCATGTTTGGGACAGACACTGCCAAGCTTTGTTTGTGTTCCCAGCCCTGTCCTGCCATGTGAGAGTGAACAGAGGGTGCAACACCCAGCCCTGCATCCCTGGGCCTCGTGGAGGGATGGAGCCAGGAGCAGGGGATGGAATGGGATGGAWCTGGGACAGCCCCTTCCTGTGCCTAAAGGTGCTGCACTAGAGCTGGAGAGGGAYTGSAGACAAGGGATGGAGGGACAGGATAAGGGGAAAYGGC